CCCCCACCCCCATCCCCCAAGAAGGTCTTCTGCCCCACTTGCTTCCGGGAAGCCTGGCCGTCTCCCAAGGAGACCGGACCGCCCTCCCATCTCACAGGCACCCGGAGATGGGCAAGAGGCGGCCACCCCCCCTCCCTCAGGGCCTTGGCCAGGCCACAACTTCCTGCTGGTCCTGAATCATCCTTCTCTCCCTCCCTGCTTCCCGCCCCGGCTGGGCTGCGGGATTCTTCTCATACCAAGGCCGAGGTCAAAGAGTCCAGGCCTGCGACCACAAGCGGCGCCAAGCCAGGGTCTGGCGGGGGGGAGGGAGCCTCCCCTCTTTGGGCCAAAGGGAGCCCGGCTTGGCCAGCAGCCTCTCCTTTGCCCCCCCCCCACCGCCCAGCTCCTTGCTCCTCAGCCACCACTCAGTTGCCATCATCTCCGCCCGCCCCCTTGACCTCCGGCCCGTCTGGGGCCCTGGACGTAGGTCTTCCTTGCCACAGGTGTCTGACAGGAAGCGAAGGCCCACTTTCAAAGACCCAACACTTGGGAGAGACAAGGTTAAGCAAATACTGGATTCATTAAAACCAGATGCAAATTAAAAACTATTAAATGGAAGAAACGATTGTGATGGGAAACTTTCATCCCCCAGTGAGTAACTTCTCCCTATACTGCAAAACATGAGCACACACCAGAAACAGAAGCCACACCCAAACCTAAAACAACTCTATGGGGTTGGGTGTGTGTGTGTGCTGGGGATCTATGTTCATGGGAGCAGGAGGGAAGGGGGTGGGGTGAAATGGCAGCCCAGAGCCGGTGATTCCTGCCCCCCCTCACCGAACGCCACAAAGGCATCGGACACAATGTCTGCTAGCCCAAAGCTGAGAACCATTAGCCCAGAGTGGCCACCATCCTGCTTGTGCCTTCTGGATCCCATTGGTATAGCCAGCGGTCAGGGATTCTGTGGGAAGAAAAGTCCAACACAGGACTCCTTGCCCGCAGGGTGACCCCTGACCTCTTGGGCTCCAGCTCCCATCCTCTGCAAACGAGGCCGTCCAAGGCAGAAAGCCTCTGCAGATGCTAGGGACAACAATTCCCATCATCCTTTGCCACTGGCTGAGCTATCTGGGACTGCTGGCAGATGGTGGGCCTGGGAGCCCGGAGGCCCAGACCCTCCCCAGCTGTCTTGGGCAGGCCCTGGGCTCGCGGGGCGGCAAACTCAGAAAGATGGTGGACTTGGGGGCAGGGGGGCAGCTAAACGGACGGCTCACCATCAACGTGCGGAAGTCCTCCGCTGTACCACACGAGGAAGCCTCTCCCGCCGGTGCCCTCGTCCGACGCCATCTGCAGCATCATCCGGTTGGTGGTGGAGAGGATGGCGCCCGGGCGGAAGGTGCCACAGAAGCGGCCCAGGCGCTGAGACTCGGTGGCCGAGTGCCCGTTGTACACGTCCAGGTAATCGTAGCGGCAAATGGGGTCTGGCTCCAGATCAAAGACCCGGAAGGAGAGCATGGCCACCTGGCCTTCCGGCACCTGGAGGCAGAGGAGGTCGGTCGGCCGGCCGGCCGGCAGGCCAAGAGACAGACAAGCCGGCGGTCAGCAGCCAAGGTGGCAGGCGGGAGTCGCCACTGGGGGAAGAGAGCGCAAAGGGGTCGGGGCCCCCAGGGGGATGGGGTGGGGACCCAAGGGACGGACTGAATGTTGCTTCAGGCGGCCACCACCACCGGCAAACGGCTCCCTTTTCTGACCGAAGGAAGGGAGGCTCCACCTGGAACTGAGCGAGGGGTCACTGGGCTTCGGGGGGGGCAGCTGTTGCTGGAGAGCAAGATGGGTAGGAAACGGTCATTTATAAAATGATGGGCCATGGAAACTGGAAAGTACATGAAAGCAATTTTTGGAGTTGTGGAGTAGGGCAACACCCGGCCGGCACAGGGACGTTTCAACCCAGCCATCGATGTTTGGGGCAGGGGTGGGGGTTGCTGAGCAGGGGATGACGGGCAGGCTTGGGAGAAGGAGCCCCCCCCCCCAGGCAGGCAACGCCTCGGACAGAAGAGGCTCCTGGCTGGTGTGTGACCCTTACCGTGATTGTCCAGGTGCATTTCTTGTTTGGGGGGTACGGGCTTGGGAACCCTTCGCTGGCGATATAGCCGGAATCTCCAGTATAGTCCCCCCCACATAGGAAGACGGGCCTGGGGGGAGAAAGGGGGGGAAGAGAGAGAAGAAAACAGAGGGAAAGACAGAAAGAGGCAAAGAGAGAGAGAGAGAGAGAAGTGGGGCATTAGAAAGCAGCAAAGTGCTGTTCCTCTCTTCCTGTCAAAGAAGGAGTTGTCGGTCGAGACTGGCAGATTTATTGCGCCAGAAGGAGGCCTGGCACAGGAAAGCGCCTTCTTCCACCCAATGGATGATGGGTTGCCAACGCCAACAACAGGCCTATCCCGGCTATGCAGGGACGTTGTGAACATGGAGATCAGACCAAAGCAGGATGTTGGGGCCTTGCACCCAGGAGCGGATGGACACCTGCTAAGGGCTTGTGCCCCTCCCCGTCCTGGGGGCCAAGAACAGGGCCTGGGGGGGGCTCAAGGCTATGGTGTACAGCTTGGCCCCTCAGAGAAACACTGAAGAGGACACATCCTTCTGGGCCAGAGGATGCCTGGAGAAGGAGGACGACCATGGCTACTCGTCCTAGGGTGATTGCATTAGCCTTAGTTTAAACCAAAAACGCCACCGCCTCATCTTTTTCTTGTGAATAACAATTTGGCTAATTTAGCCACAGCAGGCCCAGATTGCTTAATTCGCCTCTTCCCAGTCAGGCAAAGAGCCCCCCCCCACGCCCCCCTCCCGCGTCTGAAAGGAGTGAGCCAAAGAGGGGGGGGAGAGAGGCGCCGCCGGTCGCCCAAAAGGGGCGGGGGGACACGGGCTTTAGGGCAACGTCCGCCCCCCCCCCGCGCCTGGCACTGTCCGGATTTGTCAGACCACAAATCCCACCATCCCCAGCCCAGGAAACCAACTGTGGGGACTGAAGTCCAAAGCATCTAGAAAGGGAGGGAGCGCCCGCCCGTCGCCCAAAGGGGGCGGGGGGACACGGGCTTTAGGGCAACGTCCGCCCCCCCCCCGCGCCTGGCACTGTCCGGATTTGTCAGACCACAAATCCCACCATCCCCAGCCCAGGAAACCAACTGTGGGGACTGAAGTCCAAAGCATCTAGAAAGGGCCCCGGCGGAGGAACCAGTCAGCCAAAGACCCCC